ATGGCTAATGGCATTAGAGAACTGAGGATGTATACAATTTAACTTCACAGTGCTAGATACCTGCCTGTAAAGGCCTACTCTTGCTGAAGATTTTCATTGAATTAAATTAGTTTACCACTAACTTTTACACTACTCTGATAGGACTGGTTTTTGATGCTTAAGATTAAACTGAGGGTCTTGTTCTTTATCACTGAGCTATATACCTCAGCCCATGACTGCTTATTGTATATTCACAATGCTTCCTAGATGGTATGCAAATAGAAATTTTGAATGAAATAGTAAGTGAAAGAAAGCCTTTTCACTCTTGCTACACAGGTATTTGGGGAGACCAAAGAAAGAGAAGACCATTGTAATCAGACCTCCTTTCCTTCGACCAGAGGTGTCAGATGGGCAGATAACTGTGAAGATCATGGATAATGGCATCCAGGGAGAACTGAGGAGGACTAAGGTGAGAAATTAGGAAAGTAAAGCTAGGTAAACCCAGGGAATTTCACCCATGGCAAAGAGATAGACACTTGCATTGAATGTACATCTTTGTGTTAAAGTCACTTAAATACAGATATTTTCTTCATTAGATTTCAAGTTTATGACAATAGACACTGAGCCATTTTCTTCATGTCTTCATAAGATGTAATGTCTTTCAGATGATAAACACTCAACTTTTTTTGTCCTTACTATTCCCAAATTGACTCTTGTCCCAGTATTTACATTATGCCGACTTAATATTACCTTAATGCAGTTTTCTTACATGATTTCCCTCTCTTCATTTATTAGTCTAAGGGAAGCCTAGAGATAACAGAGAGCCAGTCTGCAGATGCGGAACCTCCACCTCCTCCTAAGCCGGACCTGAGCAGATACACAGGGCTTCGAACACACCTCAGCCTGGCTACTAATGAGGGTAAGGGCTGCCTTCATCTGTGAGATCCTAGAGATAGAAGACAGGAATGAGGTACCATGTAAGCTGAGGAGAAAAAGAGCAAGGACTAGGAAGTAATAGTTGAATTATGACTGAGAACACCCGGTGGATAATACTTGAGCAGTTTTCTTTGAATAGCTAGAAAGGGAGGGATGCCAGTTAGCAATAGACAGTGATTTGGACTTTACAGGGAGTCACATTTTACAATCTTATGTTGTGTATGTGGATGGTGTGTGTGTGTGTGTGTGTGGTACATTGGTGGTGGCGGTGAGTGGGTAGATCAAAGGACAATCTCCAGAAATTGTTTCCTTACACTATGGATCCTGGGAATTGAACTCAGGTCTTTAGGCCTTTTTTGAGAGTTTGCCTGAATCAGAGAATTTCTTAGTATGTTTGATGCATTTTCCCACTGTAAATTCTGAAACTAGTATAGATCTTTGCTCTTAAAAAAATAAAAAATCACTCCTCTGCCCCCTTCCCGGGCAATGATGGCTCATGCCTTTAGTGGGTGGGTCACCAGGGAGGCAGATGCAGGCAGGCCTCTAAATTCAAGGTCAGCCTGGTCTACAAAGTTTCAGGATAGATGTGGCCACACAGAGAAACCCTATCTGGAAAAACAAAATGAAACAAAACAAAGAAACAAGGACTGTGTAGACCAGATTGTCATTGAACTCAGAGGAATTTGCTTGCCTCTGCCTCCTGAGTGATGGGATTAAAGGTGTTCTACCACAGATGGCCTTATCATTGGTTTTTAATTTTTATCATATGTATATGGCGTTTGGCTTTCATGTGTATATCTGCTCAGCATTTGTCCTTCTGTTTCAGCCTTCTGAGTAGCTGGGACTATAGGCTTGTATCTAAGGATACAAGGCCCAGCTGAGTCTTTAGACTACAACAAAATCTTGTTCCTTAGACTTTGTCTTTATTAGGTATACTTGATTCTACCATGTCCTTTCCCTGTACTTTCAGAAACCCCATAAAGGTTAAAAGAATCAATGTTACTAAAAGTAGTCTCTCTGGGTTTTCCCCTTGTAGATAGCAGTCTCTTGGGCAAGGACAGCCCCCCTACACCTACCATGTACAAGTATCGGCCAGGTTACAGCAGCAGTAGCACATCAGCCGCCATGCCTCATTCCTCCAGCGCCAAGGTACTGTGTACTCTAAGAAGTGGGGTCATAACCTATGCTAGTTCTGGAGGAAGGGAGGAGGGAACGTAAAAGCCAAGGGCATTTACTGATTATTGGCATTAATGGAATTGAATTTCCTTGTTGTGTTTTTCATCAAAAAAGGAGCAATGACGCATACTAGATAAAACCACTAATTAGTGTCAAATCTGATTTGAGAAATGACTTCTGCCAAGTTACTTAGTTTCTGTAAGCCTCATTTCTTGCATCTTAAAATAAGGTATTTGTTCCAAGTCACAGGTTTTAGTTAAGGGCAAACCATATGATGTCCAAGTTTGAAGTATACTACTGGCATGTAATTCTGTTCTTCAGTGGGTCTCTGGGCTCTGGTGTCTGGCAGCTATCAAAAGGAGTGTTAAGACTGTTTTTACTCATTTTCCACAGTTGAGTCGTGGAGACAGCTTGAAGGAGCCAACTTCAATTGCAGATAGCAGCCGCCATCCCAGCTACCGCTCAGAACCCAGCTTGGAACCAGAGAGCTTCCGGTCTCCCACTTTTGGCAAAAGCTTTCATTTTGATCCATTGTCCAGTGGCTCACGATCTTCCAGCCTCAAGTCAGCTCAGGGCACGGGCTTTGAGCTGGGCCAGTTGCAATCCATTCGTTCAGAGGGCACCACCTCCACCTCCTATAAGAGCCTGGCCAATCAGACACGCAATGGAAGTCTATCATATGACAGTCTACTCACTCCTTCAGACAGCCCTGATTTTGAGTCAGTACAGGCAGGGCCTGAGCCAGACCCACCTTTAGGCTACACTTCTCCCTTCCTGTCAGCCCGGCTGGCCCAGCAACGGGAAGCCGAGAGGCACCCACGTTTGCTGCCAACTGGTCCACCACACCGAGAGCCCTCACCAGTCCGTTATGACAATCTGTCTCGCCACATTGTGGCCTCCCTCCAGGAACGAGAGAAGCTGCTACGACAGTCACCTCCACTTGCAGGCCGTGAGGAAGAACCAGGCCTGGGAGACTCAGGCATTCAGTCAACACCAGGCTCAGGCCATGCCCCCCGTACTAGTTCCTCCTCAGATGATTCCAAGAGATCACCCTTGAGCAAGACTCCACTGGGACGCCCAGCTGTCCCCCGTTTTGGCAAACCAGATGGGCTAAGAGGCCGGGGATTAGGGTCCCCTGAACCAGGCACAACTGCCCCCTACCTGGGCCGATCGATGTCCTATAGCAGCCAAAAAGCCCCATCTGGTGTCTCTGAGACAGAGGAAGTAGCATTGCAGCCATTACTGACACCCAAGTAAGTATTTGTTTTATCCCCCTTATCATTCAGCTTAATTAGCAGAAGCCATCAGGCCTTTGGCTATACATGATTCTTGTATAGGTAGACTCTGGGGATTCTGAGAACTCTTCACATTTGATTGCCTTTATGAACAACTCCTCCTTAAGGGATTGAAGATTGATAATATTCCCTTAATACTGCCTTCCTAAAAGTTTTATTTGCCAGAAATTAAGTATACCAGAGCTGTGGTTAGGAATGGATTGGGGAGAAAGAGAAATCAGTCTTATTTTAAGCATACCAATAAAGTAAAAGGGACTGGACTGTTTGGGTAAGAAAATATGTGAAAAAGCTCACCCACCTTCATATTTGACCCTTTGTGTGTATTTTGTATGTGTTTTGTGCGTGTTTTGTGCATCTTTCCCTGATGTCTGTTTCTTCTTTTTCCCCCAGAGATGAAGTACAGCTCAAGACCACCTACAGCAAATCCAATGGGCAGCCCAAGAGTATAGGCTCAGCTTCCCCTGGCCCAGGCCAGCCAGCTCTCAGTAGCCCCACAAGGGGAGGAGTCAAGAAGGTGTCAGGGGTGGGTGGCACTACTTATGAGATTTCTGTATGAATCTTGGCGCCTCCCTTCCCCCACACCTCTGCACCTACACCAAAGGGCCTCAGGTGGCCACCTTCCTTCCCTCAAGGGGCTCCCCTACTTTGCATGGACATTTTTTAAACCACTGATTCCAAGAGGATGAGGCTTGTTTTACAAAATGCCATGAGGTTAAGGAGAGTTGGGGGCCCTGAGACTGGGGTGGCACCTCCCCCTCCTTTGATCTTTTAAGACTTTCCCCTTCCTTGATCCCTGGACCAGACTCAGTGGACATTTGTGCAATTGCTCGCCCTGGAGGGAACCAGATCATTTTTAAACCAGAAATAATTTTTTTTATTATTGTTACGGATTCTATTTTTTTCCTCTTCTCCGTTACCAGGTGTGTGTGTACATATATATATATATTATAAATATCAAAGAAATTATATATCTATCCTGGGATGGGAAAACAAGGGAGGGATATATAGATAGATATATATATATAAGGAGGGGGATTTTATTCTTCCCTTTCCTTAGACCAGCAGGAAAAGAGAGACATTAAAGTCTTCCTTTTCTCCATGGTTCCCTCTCGTTTGTCCCAGTTACCGACTAAGGAAGTAGCACCCTCTGCTGGTGCTAAGTGATTAGGAAAAAAACAGTACATCTGGGGTTGTCAGTCAGATAAAAGAACTTGGAGAGTTTTTTAGGCTCCTTCACATCTAGTTTCCCTAGGAAAGGGGTCACAGTTCCATCATGGTGGTGGGAGATCAGGAAGAGAGCTTGGCCTAATTTAAGAAACACCAGGCCTCCCGCCCTCCATTCTTTGGACAGGGATTGTGGAGGGCTTCAGTGAGCCCCTTCAATGCTTCCCTATAATTTACAGAAAAATCTTAAAATCCAAGGCCAGGAGAGAAGAATCCAAAAAGCAATATTTTTCATCATATGCCAAAAATGGGATAGAGAGAAGGAGTGGCAGGCCTAGGCCCCTCCAATTGTCCCTTGGGGTTTACCCCTTAGCCCACCTCAATATGGTGCTGGGTAGAGGGGGTAGTAGCTGGGTTCTAACCTTTAAACAGGAAAGACTCCAGCCTCTATACAAAGACCCTTTAATTTTTTTATTCTGATTAGCCATTTTAAACCAACAAGGAATAAAATAAATCCTGATCTAACCAGTTTCCCCTGACTTGTGTTTTGTCTGGTTAAGGCAGGGTGAATGGTCTTACGGAGTCAAAAGGGAAACCTCATTCTCTGGTCCTGTTTTTATTCTGGCTATCAAATTAAATGCCTTGCTGGGTGAGAAAAACCTAGCTTTTCATAACAAAAACATCCTGTGTGTTGAAATCTCTTGTGTTATTCCTTAATTTCCCTTTTAGAAAGTAAAAACAACTAAGCATGGTGGTATATGCCTTTGATCCCTGAACTTGGTAGGCAGAGGCAGATGGGTCTCTCAAGCTTGGGGCCTAGTCTTCATAGCCAGCCAGGGTTGGGATAGTGTGATGTCGTCTCAAAAAAATCCAAACCAAAAACTTTCAAAACAACCAAATCCAGCATTAAACTTCTTGCCAGAGGTTCATTTAAAAAGCATGTAGAGAAAAAAAGTCTGGGAGGGAGGGAAAGGAAAATATAAACTTGTCTAGTATACACAAGTCTTAGGGGTCAGGCTCCAGAAAAAGGTTTGGGCATAATGAGATAAATACTAGTTGTTTTTTCCTGCTAAAATATACTAGTGAATGTGGATTACCAGTTCCCTGTGGTATATAAACACTGGTATAAACCTTATTTGGGTCAGCTTTCCTGATGGAAGATGAAGATCATCCAGGCACTTTGCTCTGAGCATAATCAGCAAAGTATTTGTGCCTATGGTAGGAAAACACTAGCAAACTAGGTTGTTTTCAGACCATGTTCTCTATTCTCATTTTGATTTTCTAGCCTGCTAAGGAAATAATGTGATGGCAAGATCCAAAATCTCTTGCATCTTAGTGCCTTGTCCTTAACTTTGACTCAAATAGAATGGCACTAGCCTCTTAAAAGGCAGCCATACTAGTCAGTCTATGAAACATGCTTTTAAAAAAAACAAAACAAAACACTGAAGTCCTGGAATCAAATTACACAAAAGAAGGGGAAAAAAAAAAGATAAAAAAGATCCTTTTTCTTGTAAAAAGGATATCCATGAAAATGCCAATTGGACTAAACCATAAAAAAGCATGGCCCTTCTCTAAAGTGTATTAGTCACATGCACAGCAGGGGCTGGCCCCTGTCCAGCTGTTGAATGCCCCCACAACAGGGTCCAAGTGCCTGGAAGACAGTTTTTATCAGCAGGTTCAGTATCACAGGAAAGCCATCCTTGGCAAAGTCCAGTAGTACTATTAGCGGAGGCTGCTGCTGCTGCTGGCTTGAGAGCTGCCCATACCTGGGTGGTCTGGACTATGTCGGTTCTGGAGAAAACAAAGAAAAGAGTTAACATTCAGAAACTAAAAGACCTAGGTGGATGTGGTGGTGCATGCCTTTAATCCCAGCACTCTGGAGGCAAGCAAATAGATCTCTGAAGTAGAAACCAGCCTGGTCTTCACAGTGAATTCCAGGCCAGCGAAGACTATACATCTTGAAACCTTGTCACAAAACAACAAAAAAATCTAAATAAATAAGATGAGCCTGCTAACATAAACTTGCTATCTCAGTTACTTGGGAGATGGAGGCAGAAGGACTACAAAGTCCAAGGCCTGCCTAGACAATCTAGTGAAACACTATCTTAAAAATTATCAATAAGGGGCTGGAGAGATGGCTCAGTGGTTATAAGCATGTACTGTCTTGTACAAAACCTGAGTTCAGTTCCCAGCACCATCATAGGCCTGTGACTCTGACTCCAGGGCTTAAGCCCTCTTCAGGCCTCTGCACTCATGTGGGAAAGCACATGTATTCATAAATTAAAAAAAAAAAAAAAAAGATGACACAGGGAAAACTCAATGGGTTTCAACCACAACAGCCCCTACCTTCTTCTTCTTCTTTTCTTTCTTCTTCCTTTTCCGTTCAGGATCCTCTTCTTTCTTCTTTTTCTTCTTTTTGTGATCTGAATCAGATGGTGTTTCTGTAGGAAACATTAAGAGCCATTAAGAGCCTATAACCTGTTGAGCTTAAGATCTACTATATAAACTCCTAAGGTTATAGGGAAATCTAACTCTAGAAATCCTAACTACTATTTTTCTCAAGTGTCCAGAAAGGATACTGAGGTGTGCTAAAACACCTGTGCTAAGTCATTACTTGCCCAAGAAATGTCATTATATGAATTCCTTCTTAGGGAAAATCTGGGAGTCCAGAGTAACTAAGCTTAACTGTAAAGGCCAGGCCGTACTTGAGCCAGTGTCTCTGATAAGAGGTGCTCCTTACCTGGGGGAACAGGATCCTGGGTACGGCTCTGTTTGTGCTTATGCTTATTCTTCTTCTTGGGAGGCTGAATATGCATCAGACGACACTGCTCTGGCAACTGAGGGAAACAAAGGAAGGTCCAGGTGAGTAGAGAGAGAAAATCTCTCCCATCATCTGTTCTCAGAAATTATGAAGGAACAGAGTTGGACAGAAAACTACTTCCATGCCTTTCAGGCCATTTGTTTTCTTACTCCCCAAAAAGAGACTCACCGGGCCAGTGTGAAGGCGGAAACCAGACAGCATGGTCCCTGTGATCGGATTAAAAGAGCCACCAAGAATAGGAGGCTTCTCAATGAGGGAGCGGAGGCTGCTGTTGTCATGGGAGCCAGGGAGATCAATCATCCCTGGCAGGTCAGGCAGGAAGTTACTTAGCTTCTCCTTCACTTTCTTCCCACAGAACTTATTATAGGCCTGTTCCAGGTTGTAGTGTGTGATTAAATTGGTGCTGCCCGTCAGCTCTGTGCTACCTAGAAAATAGTCATAATGAGATTATACCAAAAGCAGGTAACTTTTTGTTAGTAACTCAGAAGGAAATTGAAAGAAAAAACAATCTTTAGATTTACTTTATATGTATGTTTACTTTGTCTGCATGTTATGTATGTGTACCTAATGTGTGTCTGGTGCCTGCAGAAGTCAGAAGAGCGGGTTGGATCCCCTAGAACTGGAGTTAAGGATGGCTGTGAGCTGCCCTAGGAACTGAATCTGGCTCTTTTGCAAGAGTAGCATATCCTGTTGAGCCATCTCTCCAGTCCCACGAAGGATTCTATTTTAATGTAAATGAGGAAATCTATTTAAGGAGAATTGTCTTAGTCACTGTCCCGTTGCTATGAAGAGACATGGCTATAGCAACTCTTATAATTATGAGGCTTGTTTAGAGTTTCAGAGGCTTAGTTCATTACCGTGTTGGGTAGCATGGTGAAAGCATGGTATTAGTGAAGGAGTTGAGAGCTATCCCCAGCTCAGAAAGAGAAATGGGCTTTTGAAACCTCAGAGCCCATCCCAAATGACCACATCTCCTAATCCTTCTAATCTTTTTAAAGGAATTCCACTCCTGGGTGATTAAACATTTAAATAGATGAGCCTCTAGGGGCCATTCTTATTCAAGCCATCACAATTATAAACTTTTTTTAAAAAAAATAAACAAAAGCAGGCATGGAGGCACATGCCTCTAATCCCAGCATTCACTTGGGAGGCAGAGGCAAGTGGATCCCTGTGAATTCAAGGCCAACCTAGTCTACAAAGCTAATTCTAGGACAGCTAAGGCTGTTTATCATACAAGTAAACAAACATACACACACAAAACCAAACAGGAAAAACAAGCAAATTTTATAAGTTGAGCATCTGTAGGTCAAAAATCTGAAATGTGAAACTTAGTGAATTCTAGCACTCAAAAAGTTTCATATTTTGGATCATTCCATACTTCATATTTCTGGATTCAGGATGTGCAACTGGTAAAAATCTATGCAAATATTCTGAAATCTGAAAAACTGTAAAACTGGAAACATTTTAGATAAGTGTATTCTAGACACTAAACCTGTAATAACACAATAGCCAGGTATAGTGGTGCACAACTGTAAGTGTAATGCCAGGACTTAGAAGGTTGAGGCAAGGCAGCTGCATTCAAGGCTAGTTTAGGCTAACTAATGAGAGCCTGTCTCAAATACCCAACCTCAGTAACATATAATAAACAAACACAAAACTCTATACCCTGGGCTAGAGGGATGGAAAGGTGATGGAGCAAAGTAGGGCAGAGGTAGAAACTGAAAAAAGGAAAAAGCTAATCAGATTAACTTACTTGACATTGTATCAAATACTGTTCTGCTTTTCATAAAATGTCTCAAACATTTCTGTGTGGATCAGTATAACAGAACCTTATAGTTCAGTTTACAGATACAATATATTCAATGGCTGACTTTTTTTTTGTTTTGTTTTTTTGAGACAGGGTTTCTCTGTGTAGCCCTGGCTGTCCTGGAACTCACTCTGTAGACCAGGCTAGTCCCGAACTCTCGAACTCAGAAATCCGCCTGCCTCTGCCTTCCAAGTGCTGGGATTAAAGGCATGCGCCACCACAGCCCGGCCCTGACTTTTTTCAAAAGATTAGAAATATGCTAATAATATGGACAAAATAAAGAGAATAGAAATATCTATCATACAACCTCACTGATTATTATGACAGCATACAGGTAAAATGGCCTGTTTATGATACTTGGCAAAGTTCAGGTTCTGAACTGTGATGGCAGGGATGATGTCTTATTCACATGACTGGTTAGTGCTCAGGTTATACATTAAAATGTTTCTGACAAACAAGCACTTTTCTTCTGGTCTTAATCTACATGTTTCCCTCTTTTCACTGTGAAATAACTCAGAAGAAGGATGTGTAACAGTGTGGGTTCCTGAGTATTACCGAGGCTCTCAGAACTCTGGACACATCTGCTGTTTTCTCTCATTTGTCCTGTTTCTGCCGGTGCTCCTCCTTCCAGCTGGTTATGTTTACAGCTCAGTTGAGAAGGCACGTGTTTCTTTTCATATATATTTTTTTTTTTCCAGAAGAGTTTCTCTGTTTGACAGCCCTGGCTGTCCCATAACTTGCTTTGTAGACCAGGCTGGTCTCAAATGCAAAGAGATATGTCTACCTCTGCCACCCAAGAGCTGGGACTAAAGGTGTGTGTGAGCCACCACAGCGAGTGCTTTTCCTAACTTGCAAGAAAGGAGTTCAGGCATATCACAGTGGTGTATCCTAATGATCCCAGCACTCAGGAGGCAGAGGCAGGAAAACAAGGAGCTCAGGCTCATGCTCGACTGCATGCATGAATTTGAGGCCATCCTGGGTGACATGAGACTGCCTCAAAAAAAGAAAGAAAAAGAAATTAAGTAAGTAAATATGATGAGGCTGGCCAGAATGCTCAGTGGATGACCCAGGTTCCATTCCCATCACCTACAGGGCAGCTTGCAGGCACGTGCATATAAATCCAGTTAGAGGGAATCTGATCATCTTCTCTGACCTTCCTGGATTTAACATGAGCGTGTGCGCGCACGCACACACACACACACACACACACACACACACACACACACACACACAC